TGAGTGTGTGGACGGCATGGGACAAAGTCCCCCTGATGTCTGTGAGTGTGGACGGCATGGGACAAAGTCCCCCTGATGTCTATGAGTGTGTGGACGGCATGGGACAAAGTCCCTCTGATGTGTGTGAGTGTGGACGGCATGGGACAAAGTCCCCCTGGTGTCTATGAGTGTGTGGACGGCATGGGACAAAGTCCCTCTGATGTGTGTGAGCGTGGACGGCATGGGACAAAGTCCCCCTGATGTGTATGAGTGTGTGGACGACATGGGACAAAGTCCCCCTGATGTCTATGAGTGTGTGGACGGCACAGGGTCCCAATATTGGGACAAAGTCCCCCTGATGTTTATGAGTGTGTGGACGGCATGGGACAAATTCCCCCTGATGTATATGAGTGTGTGGACGGCATGGGACAAAGTCCCCCTGATGTATATGAGTGTGTGGACGGCATGGGACAAAGTCCCCCTGATGTCTGTGAGNAACAGAAGACACTAATGAAGAGACCATAGAAAACCACAAACGACAAACTTACAGGCAACCAAGACAGGTCCTAGGATTGACAATGATGCCTTAGGATTATACATCTGTCAATTAACTCATGGATGTATACATAGCTTGATGGATAAATAAAATGTTAAAAATCAGTTAAAAAAAGCATAAAAAATAAAAAAAAGCATAGATTTAGGGATCATTGGTCTTAATACTTCTTTAAATTGAAGGCTAGTGACTTGAGTGCTATCATAAAATGAAAAGCATTGATGGTAATCTGTCTCTTATACACATCTAGATGTGTATAAGAGACAGCGGCAGGACTGGTCGTGGACGGCGTGCAAGTCTCCAACGACGGCAGCGTCGCCCACACGGCGGACTGGGGACGGCTGGCCGTCCTCCTCGACAACGGCCCGTCCACCTGCCTGCTAGGTCCGTCCACAATGTGGCTATTTATTTAATGATTATATAATATTAATTATATTTCAATTATATTATTGAATTATGTTATAAATTATATTATTTAATTTAATATAATTAATAATATTAAATATATTCTAATTATATTTTAATATAATTTAATTATATTATTATTATTGTTATCCATGATGACTCCATTTATTGAATAATTATTATATATTGATTATATTTTAATTATACTATTATTGTTATCCATGACGGGTCCTTTCTTTATTATATTATATTATTTTGTAATATATTATATTAAGATATGTCATTAGGGTGGTCGTCAAAAAACTTCTTACTTTGAAAATAAGTTCCTACCTCAAGAACGGGTTCGTCTGGATGCCTAAATAATATCTTTAAAATATTTCTCAAATCGGTTAATATTTAGACGTCGCTCAATGGTGTCAAAGTGTCACCCCTAGCTATGGCTCAGGGTCATTGGGTACATAGAGCCACCAAAGAAACGGGTATATACATTAGGGTTGTCTTCAACAATTGGGTCCAAAATTTGAATATAGTCTTTCCACGCTCCTACATCACTCTCCGATTTCTTTATTGAGAGTTCTTAATGTGTAGAGATTTCGAAACTCCCTCTGAGCTGTCCCGCAAAACTCCAGAAACTCCCACTGGGCCTGAAACCGTCGGAAGTGCGCCCGATGTTCCCCCCATGCCCGACTGGAATGCTGCGTCGAGAACAACTTCACGAATATATATATGCAAGGTGTTTTGATGCCGTCATATCGAAACACACGATCCTCAATCCCCAACTCCGCACCCTCCCCGTACCGTTGGCGGGCTTGGGAACGCCGTGGAGTTGTATAGCTCCTTTCCCGCTGACAAGGACAGGTAGACAGTCCATACACTTCATTATCGTGAGGTCACTTTTCTTCCCAATGCACCACCACCGTTTCGCTCATCTGCAAGTCGGCCTTAAGCTGTGAGGCGTACATGGCTTGGTGCTTCTGCTGATATCAGCGAATTGAGGAGCAGGTGATTGTTAACATCTTCTGGCTCGTGGCTAAAGTCTCGAGCTGCTTTGGTAAGAAGGAACACAGATCTTCTATCGCTCACTTTGGTTCGGTCATGGGAAGCTGCCAAGCCTGGCGTAATCACATTCTTCGCCCTCATCGGTGCGCTAGCGCCACGGATTGACCCCACAGCTCACTGTTCTTGTTGCACATGGAATTCCTCCTCCTCCTCTTCCTCCGCTCTAGCGCTGGATGACGTGGAGGACGAGTCGCCTGGGTCCATGGCAGTAGAAACCGATGTTGACGGCTGTTGTGCTCAAAGGCAGCGCTCCTCATACCCTTGCCACCGTTTTCAGTTCCGCTCTTCCATACGGGCAAGTTTGGAATCGATACCTCCCATGTACCCCGGGCGCCCAGGCTGACGCTGCGCGACAAGGAAGGCAATGTCTTCCTCAATCTTCATGATCGCATGATCATTAAGATCACGATCTTCAATCTTCATGATCCTCAATCTTCATGATCGCATGATCATTAAGATCATGGTCTTCAATCTTCATGATCCTCAATCTTCATGATCGCATGATCATTAAGATCATGATCTTCAATCTTCATGATCGGGCGCATCTTGTGGGCCACGTCGAAGACCCTCTCAAGTTCCTGACTCCAAGGCTGACTCTATCTCGGTCTGGGTTTTGCAGTCCCTTGCGACGATTATTCCTGACTAGCTGGTATTCTTGCTTCATCTTTTCCAGCTTCGTTAAAATGGTATCGGGACGCATCGTTGGAATCCTTGCACGTTCTAGGAACTGGAGGACTTCAGAGATGATGTCATTGAAGGCGTCATTGTAAGTAGCGCCGTTGCCATTATGGAAGTGGACAACAGCTAGCACTTCTTAGCATGAAGGAAGATTTGCTCCCGTCAATACGGGAGAAGGAGAGACCAAATATCCCTTCTTGGCACGTATGACAGTCGACATTGCCTATCTCAACCTTCAACAATCCGTGGATGAACACGACTGTCTGACTGACTGACTGACTGACTGTCTGTCAGAGGTACACACTGCACAACGCACTCTGAAATGGAATCAAGTCATTCAGGGTGGGACTGGGCAAATAAATCCCGTTCAAGCATGTTCAGACCCGTTTATTTGTTCACTCTATGGTATGGACCCAATGACCCTGGGCCATAGCTAGGGGTGACACTTAGACACCATTGAGCGATCTTTAAATATTAACCGATTTGAAAAATATTTTAGGGATATTATTTAGGCATCTAGACGAACCCGTTCTTGAGGTAGGCACTAATTTTCAAATAAAAAAGTTTTTTTTTGAGGACCACCCTAATATATCATCATATTAAAATATAATTACTATAAGATGTGTATATATATTTAATATTTATATCTAATCAGTCTATTAAATAACTCCACTACAAATTTATTCAGCAATTCAACATATAATTAATTAAATACATACACAAATAATGTACCCCCCTCCCCCCACAGCGGTGGTGCAGCTGCTGGGGGGCGGGACGGGGGGCGTGGGCGCCCCCCTGCACGCCGCTGAGGTGCCCCACCGCTGCGTGTGCCTCGCCTTCAGCCCCACCGCCCACCACCTGCTGGTGGGCCTCGCCAAGCGCCTCGTGCCGGGCCTCGGCAGGCCTGAGGACAACCTCCCCTCGGTGGGTCACGGCGACCCACTTACTGCTTGAGTGGGTCAGGGGGACCCGCCCCTCGGTGGGTCACGGCGACCCACTTACTGCTTGAGTGGGTCAGTGGGACCCACTTACTGCTTGACTGGGTCAGGGCGACCCACTTATTGATTGAGTGGGTCAGGGGGACCCACTTACTGCTGGAGTGGGTCAGGGGGACCCACTTACTGCTGGAGTGGGTCAGGGGGACCCGCCCCGCGCTAGGCGTAGGGAACCCACTCCCGTGGTGGTGGGTTCCCGCCGACTGAGAGTGAGAGTGACTGGGACATGCTGTGGTGCCGTAACCACAGCTGTGGTCCCGGCACCACAGCTGTGGTCCCGGCACCACAGCTGTGGTCGCGGCACCACAGCATGTTTGTACCACACGGCACCACAGCTGTGGTCCCGGCACCACAGCAGTGGTCGCGGCACCACAGCATGTTTGTACCACACGGCACCACAGCTGTGGTCCCGGCACCACAGCTGTGGTCGCGGCACCACAGCATGTTTGTACCACACGGCACCACAGCTGTGGTCACGGCACCACAGCTGTGGTCACGGCACCACAGCTGTGGTCACGGCACCACAGCTGTGGTCACGGCACCACAGCTGTGGTCACGGCACTGAACTGCAGTGAACGTTCAAGTCTAATTTTCACATCTTGATTTAATTTATAACAAGTTCCCTAATAGTACAGCAATTTTAAACATATTTGAGTTAGCCCTCAATCTGATCACGTTGTTATTTCGGTAATGTTCAGTAATTGTTGGGAACTTGCGTTAAAATATTTATGCATGTTATAGATTGATTACTTATTAAAAAATGGAAAATAGGAATAGATGTGAAATTTTTTCATGATTACATCTATGAAAGTATGGCACTACAAAAAAGAATTGCTCTTAAATCAATGCAATTACTAGAATCTAAATTCAATACTTGCAGTTAGTTTAGATTATTTTGAATTACCGCAATATAAGTTCTAGTGTGCATTTATTGTAAATATTGCTAAATAACTGATTATAAATTGCATTATACAGAAGATTCTATAGCTTTTTATTTATTTATTAGAACATTCTATGGCTATTCTACTTTATATTCTTTTGAATAACCGCAATACAATCTGCATTTATTATAAATATTCCTCAATAAGTGAATATAAATTCCAATTCCACAGAAGATGCTGCAGGTGCTGCAGCTGCAGCGTGACGGTGGAATTTTTGCTGCATTTATTTTATATTCTTCTAAATCTGATATAATACAATTTGAATTAAGTCTTAATATTGCTAAATTGCTGAATACAAATTGTATCTACAGAAGATTCTATGGCTATTCTATTTTATATTCTTTTGAATAAGCGCAATACAATCTGAGTTAAGTCTAAATATTTCTAAATAACTGAATGTAAATTACACCCCACAGAAGATGGTGCAGGTGGTGCAGCTGACGCCTGACGGGGGTCTGGCGGTGGTCCGGGAAGTGCACAACCACTTCAGGAGCGCGGGGTCCCAGCGCGTCCAGATGCGGGATGATAACGGCGCCCTCATGGGTGCTGGGGGCATGTGGGGGGCTCATGGGGGACTCATGGGGCATCTGGACATGTCCCCAGACTCTGTAGGGGTGCTGGGGGACGTGGCTAACGCCCTGGGGAGGCCTGAGGAGGAGGTAGAGTTACGTATGGGCGCAGAGATGTTGAACTGCGCCGTGTGGCTCCCTGCTGACGGAGGGAGAACCTTGCTGGTGGGGACGAACAGCGGCAGGATAGTCGCCTTCAGGTTCTCCTGAGGACGTAGGGGATTGTGGGGGGTGTTGTGGGACGTTGCTAGTGCCCTGGGGAAGTCTGAGGAAGAGGGACACCCCATGGGGCTCAACGCTGACGAAGGGAGAACATTGCTGGTGGGGACAAACTCTGGTCGGATCTTAGCCTTTACGTTTTCCTGAGGACGCGGGGGGCTTGTAGGGGTTTTACTGCTGGAGTGGGTCAGGGGGACCCACTTGCTGCTGGAGTGGGTCAGGGGGACCCACTCACTCGTCTCAGTGGGTCAGAGGGACCCACTGATGGGGTGGTTTCTAGGGCTGAAGACAGTGCAGACCGAGAGGTCAGGTCTGCATGGGGCCGGCGGTCTGGCCCAGTGACTGGGAAAGGCTGTGGTCACTGTACTAAACTGCAGTGAATATGCAAGTCTAATTTTTAGATCTTGATTTAATTTGTAATATATTCCTAAATTACACAGCTACTTTGTACATATATGAGTTAGCCCTCAATACGACCACGTTAACGTTATTGTTGTTATTTCGGTAATGCTCAGTAATTGTTGGGAACTTGCGTTAAAATATTCATACATGTTATAGATTGATTACTTATCAAAAAATGGAAGATAGGAATAGATGTGAAATTTTTTACTGATTGCAACTATGAAATTATGGCACTACAAAAAAGAATTGCTCTTAAATCAATGGAATTACCGGAATCCAAATTCAATACTTGCAGTTATTTTTTATTATTTTAAATTACAGCAATATAAGTTCTAGTGTGCATTTATTGTAAATATTGCTAAATAACTGAATTTAAATTGCATTATACAGAAGATTCTATAGCTATTCTATTTTATATTCTTTTGAATAACCGCAATACAATCTGTATTTATTATAAATATTGCTAAATAACTGAATATAATTGCATTATACAGAAGATTCTATAGCTTTTTATTTATTTATTAGAAGATTCTATGGCTATTCTATTTTATATTCTTTTGAATAACCGCAATATAATCTGCATTTATTATAAATCTTCCTAAATAACTGAATATAAATTGCACTCTACAGAAGATTCTAAGACTGGAATCCAAATTTAATTTTTGCATTTATTTAATATTCTTCTAAATCTGATATAATATAATCTGCATTTAATATAAACATTCTTCAATAACTGAATTTAAATTCCAATTCCACAGAAGATGGTGCAGGTGGTGCAGCTGACGCCTGACGGGGGTCTGGCGGTGGTCCGGGAAGTGCACAACCACTTCAGGAGCGCGGGGTCCCAGCGCGTCCAGATGCGGGATGATAACGGCGCCCTCATGGGTGCTGGGGGCATGTGGGGGGCTCATGGGGGACTCATGGGGCATCTGGACATGTCCCCAGACTCTGTAGGGGTGCTGGGGGACGTGGCTAACGCCCTGGGGAGGCCTGAGGAGGAGGTAGAGTTACGTATGGGCGCAGAGATGTTGAACTGCGCCGTGTGGCTCCCCGCTGACGGAGGGAGAACTTTGCTGGTGGGGACTAATTCTGGTAGGATCGTCGCCTTCAGGTTCTCCTGAGGACGTGGGGGGTGTTGTGGGACGTGTTGTGGGACGTTGCTAGTGCCCTGGGGAAGCCTGAGGAAGAGGTACACCCGATGTGGCTGGAGTTAGCGTTGATGGAGGGAGAACGTTGCTGGTGGGCACAAACTCCGGCAGGATAGTCGCCTTCAGGTTCTCCTGAGGGCGCGGAGGCTGTGGGTGTCATCATTATGGAGTGGGCAGACTAGCATTAGCGAGTGGGGGAACTGGTGGAAGAGTGGGCAGACTGTGGGTGTTATTTAGAGTGGGCAGACTCTCATTAGGGAGTGGAGGAACTTCTTGAAGAGTGTGGGAACTGGTGAAAGAGTGGGGGAACTGGTGGAAGAGTGGGCAGACTGGCATTAAAGAGTGGGGAAGTGATGGAAGAGTGGGAACACTCATTTATACGGTTAATGGGAAAAAATTTTACGGCGATAAGATAGTGTGCTTTTAAAATTTGAATTTACAGTCAAACTTTTTTGTGAAGTCTTATAGCTTGAATTTTTAATTGCATTTTCTGATAAGCTGATGAAGGAATATTGGTTCATTTTTTTTTAAATTGAACTTTGGTTTATGTAGACCGCGGTTCACTTCAAAGGAACCATCGATGTACTTTAGTCTTGATCACTGCCATAATATTGATCTTATTCTGTATCCTAATGTTATTCCTACCAGCGTGACCATATTGGCTGTGTTTAGTATGGCGGTCAACTGATTATCTTTTATATCCTAATGTTATTCCTACCTGCGTGACCTCAATTTCTGTGTTTAATATGGCGGTCTATTGATTCATTGCTTCAACAGGAAAATGTCGCTATAATTTCACATATTCTTTCCTATTAAAATAAAAGTCACATTTACATAACAAACTGAAATCTCGTGCATGATCTCATACTCCTTAGCTGTTAATACAATCAATATCGATATATACAACAGTTTTAAATATCACGATCAAGTCTATTTTTGTACGACCACTGTAATAGTTTTAGTTACTTATTGTATCCTCAAAATATATCGAGATCGTCTTAAGTGTTTCAGTTATTAAGTCCTGCTTTTACTTCCTACTTCGTATTAGAGAAATGAAATAGTTCTCGTATCTAAATTTTATTCGATGCCGTCGTGTAACTTCTGGTCTTAATCCTGATCCTGTTGAAGATTTCATTGTAAAATCTTTCAGTTGTTATTGCCTGTCAATAAATACTGAGAAATTGGACAGATAAATACATGTTATAGTGAAGGAACAAATAATTATCAAGGCATTGAATATTTAGATGGTATATCATGTCTAAATTCAGCATCAGTCTACTTAAATCTTGGTTTGTTCAAAGATGAATCCGATGTTGTAGCAGGTGAAAAATATACCTAGAGTGTTTCCAGTTTTTTACGTTATTGAAAGGCATTTTCAATAATATTGACATGACGGTAAAACCGCGAAAATTTCGTAATTTCATTATTCGTGAAACATTTCTGGGGGACTAGCGATGCATGTTTGATTTGACCAGATTACTTTTGAATCTATTCGACTGGCTCTATCTTTTGGTTGATTTTTCTTTGCATCTGCTTTAATACATAGAAAATATTAACAATTAGTCATGAGTGTAAACCCGCACGACTAATTGCAAATAAATTGAGAATAATCATATGCGTTTAAAAATCACTTTTTAAAGACCACTTCTAAAGAGGCCAGTGTTTCCGACGTTGCACATGTACAATGAATTTCTTATTTTATTTCTGAATATAAAAAATAATAATTGAATTGAATATTAAATTGAATTTTTTGCAATTATTTATTCTATCAATTGATTCAAGCATTAATAATAATAACAATAATAGCGGTTTCAGCGTTATTAGGCCGTAGGCCTGTCGCCGATTCTTAACATCGTAGAACATTCACAGCATTTTGCGGTCTCGAACTCGCAACGCACTGCTACAATTCTGCTGTGCTTAACCGCCCGGCCTCCTTGCCGATTCTGACCAGAAACTGTCACACAGAGCTGGGATCGTACCCGCGCCTCTCTGCGCCAATCCTGGTACTCTGAACTTTAACCACTGGGCCACCCTGCGACTTTACGCAAGGGTGCAAAATTTCAGATCAATTGGACAGGTTGAAGCATGCTAGTTCAACCATGGGTTGAAGTGTGTTAAATATCGATTATAAGATTTGTAGCAGATAAACAAGACAAGAAGTGAAGTTTAAGAAAACTGTTTTAAAAATAGAACCTAAATTAGTGTGTTTTTTAGAATTTTTTTTTTCAATGGCCCCAGCATATTTTCCCGGAAAATCGTGTTCGAAAATATTGCGGATGATCACACCTATGCACATACGTCATGAGTTGTCAACAACAACAATCGAGTAGCCACGTCAAGTGCAAGTGTTCGAGAGCGCCAGCTTGTGACCTTACCTTTTATGTTCTAATTAACGCAGACGTCGCAGGTTGTTGACAGATTTTATTTGTCCTCTCCCACGTTAAGCTAGTCAAAATTCGCATGCCCAAGGTAGCTAAGTATTTCAATACAAGGCAAGCTTGACTATGACTGCCTTGACAATCAGCTGGACTGGACCTCTTGGAGTTGTTTGTTAAGTGAGATTTATTAAAATGAAACCTGATGTTTCAATCACTAAATTCAATGTAATAAAATGTGGCCTTCACTTGGATTCTTAGCATTGATTCACAGACCACAGTTAATGTTGTTAAATAAATAAAGTTTCAGTTGCATCAAATTGTATGCATTATGCCAATCTCTATAGCTAATCTGGGAAAACCGTAACCGGCGTAGCCTTAATGTAATAAGCAGCCTAGTAGGCAGGTGTTGATAGTTAATTATATCTATTCTCTGTCTGCAACTTGAGATTTTCTGCTACAGTTATAAAAATTTATTGAAATATATTATTTAAGAGCCTCCAAATTTTAGTAATGAGTAGAGGAGAGAGAACTGAGTCTGAGAGATTCCAATCTTGTGCATGATTGGTATGTACTGAGATATGATGCTGACAAAAACCTGTACTTGAATTTATTCAAACCTGTCTATCAGCAAAGCAGCAAACAGCAATGCATGGTCATATAAAATTACTAAATACTTAACATTTAAAAATTTGTAAAAATAAATACGTTATTCACAAATGACAATCAATCGTTATTCACGTTAATTCACAATCTGATCAAATTTCGTGAGCACTGAGGGCAACCCATTGTTTTACTTTAAGGATATTTTGTTCTTTTTTCCCCAATAGCTATTTAGTGGCATGAATTTATTTGCCTAAGTTTCTTCATAATTTAAATACAACAGAAAATAATTTATTTGTAGTTGCTTATATTTATATTGACCACCATCCTACTGGTAGCATTTTCAATATTTCTCCATAACATAAATGCTTACTCAGATAAGAAACTTCTCTTTAAGAAATCTAATATTGCATTTTTTCATTGATGATTCAATTATTTAGTAGCATCAATTATTAATTTGCTAATAAGTATTAATCAAAATACTTTTACTTTTTTCAGTTTTTCTTCATGACAGAGATTTCAAATCATGACGGTGCCGGTGTTATTGCTAGTATTGCTATTATCACCACAGCTGCCTCATGTTGCTGTAGGGGACCCTCTACCAATGTCAATTAAGGAGCTCAAGCAGAGTCTATCAAACTCCAATCAACTCAAGACTGACACGGAAAACAAGGTTGACAGCATTGGGCATCTTAGACCTGAAAGTTATGCTGATGACACTGCTCAAAATTTTATGAATGATTTGGATGATGAAAATAAATTTACAGGGCAAAATTTGAGAAATGGCATTTCAAGTGTTGGTGATGACCCAGGTGTTGGTAATGATCCAGGTGTTAGTGATGGTCAGAACACTGCAGATAGAATGAAGTTACTTGATGGTAATAGCATTGAAATTGTTGATGATCAGAACCCATTGTATGACAGGGATTTTCCCAATAGTCAAATCCAGAATTTGCAAGAGGAACAAATGCTCCAAGAAAAGCCTGACTCATCACTAGTTAAAAGTAACAAAAAATTTGCTGAGGAAACATTTCTGAATCCAGCTCCTAGAATGAATGTTGTTCCACTAGCCGCAAGCAATGATAAGGCAGATGGAATACCTGTAAACCCTTCAATTGCTCTACAACCTCAAGCTGCAAACTACAGCCCCCTGAAAAGTTCTCTAGGATTGAAAAATGGAAATCAAGAAGCTGTAAATATAATTCCTCAATTCAAAGAAACTGGTATGAAACTTAACACTGAGGGAAACTCTGCTGTAGTTGCAGGAAGTAAAGCTGTTGAAATATCAGAAGGCAAAGATAAGGTTGATTATGAGAAAAACAATTTGATGAATGATAGCCCAATAGCTAAAAATTCTGAAGACCATGTTGATGAGAAGAGTGCTGAGCAAAGCTTGCTCAATGATGACCAAACAAAGAAAGAAAAAAGTTTCTTAAGCTCAATAAATATGCTTTCTGAAGCTAAGATGAATGTGGCTAGTAGGCAGCTAGTTGGTAAGTCCAATGAGACACTCCCTGCAGCTCCAAACAAATCTAGGAGTGATGAAGCTACCAAAAAGTCTGATCCCTTGCAACAAATTGATAGTGCTAAGCCACTGATTGATGGTGCTAAGCCACTGATTGACGGTGCTAAGCCACTGAATGACAGTGTGAAGCCACTGAATGATGGTGCCAAGCCACTGAATGAGAATGCTAAGACTAATGAAGCTCAAATGAAAACTGAAGGCTTCAGTTCTTTCAGTGCTAGCACATATGCAAGTAAGTCATGTTATGCTCATTTGTAACTATATCGCATTTAACTGCAAGTTCTTCATCCTGTTGATATCAAATCATGAATGTCATCAAATGTTGATGTCAAATCATCATGATGTTAAATAAAAAGTTTTTCCTTCACCTCCAGTTTATCTAAATAACTTCCAGATCCCATGGATGAAAATGATGGTGCCCAAAATACTGTACTGATGTGTATTAAAAATACTGTTAGTCATGTGTTTTTCATCTCTCCTGGTAGCAAGGAAAGCTAAGGACAACTTGTGTAGATGATTTCTAAACAAATCATTTTATTATCTCTCCGCAATGAAAAGTTTCAGAAATATGTTTATTTTATTACAGGTTCTTGGGGCTCCACAGGTCAGACATCTGCTATAAGTCAGTCCTCATCAGTGGGTTTAAAAACACCAGCACCTGCAAAGAACCCACCAAAGGAGTCACTACAAGCGCCTGGTCCTAGCCTGGGACTCGATGAAGACGACGGCCTTGAGGCAGGAGTGAATGAAGACGAGTACACTTCCCTGGAAGACAAAGAAAATGAAAATGATTTCTCCACTGATGGTTTTGGAAAAGATTTGTATAACTCAAACAAAAATGTTGATAAAGATTTATATGATACAGACAAGGCTGACAAGGCCGTTCATGTAGAGGAAGTACCAGGGGTGCAAGAGTTCAACGTGGAGGGTTACTCGCAGAACACAACAGCTGAAGCTAACTCGCACTTCACGTACCTGGTGATGCTCACCATCATCGCTGCTCTAGGATATGTTGTGTACATCAAGAGAAATAAGGTGGGGGTTTGTCCATTTCTCTGCATAGATCACTAAGAGGATAATCTTGTTCAAGAAATTAGACCAGTCAAAACTTTTTTTATTCTATCAAGTTTATCATGAGACAAATTTGACTGAAAATTATAGTCAATTCTGGACATATACCATACATAGAGCATTGGTGCATGTTATTTAACTCGTTTCGAAGTCGTTTGCTTTATTATCTTGGTTATTGTGCCCTTAGCTAGTTTAGAGTCTTGAATGTTCTTATGTTTGATTTTTACTGGCAAGTGGCAACAAACAGTGAAAAAATTATGAGACACATCTTCTATAATGATGTAGGTATTAATTATATTATAATTTTATATTATATTATGTTATTTTATATTTACTACCATACATTACATTGTTTTGTAACATAATATTCTATAATATACTATATCATATTATTACCTATATATTACTTTTCGAGTCTATACTAGTAATTCATCTGGTACTTAGCTGGCCTCACAATATTGATCACAGATTTTACATTTAACACAAAAAATTGCTTAATGATGAATGTAAATGAAGATACTGTATACTCCAAGTCTTTTAGTGATGTGATATATATGAATTCAATGAATATCTTGTCACCAGATCCTGGCGCTGCTGCTGGAGGGCCGCAGAGGCAGCGGTGGCAGCCGTCGTGGCAGCATGAGCCGCAGGCAGCGCACCCGCAGCACTGGCAGCGGCTACTCCCTCCTGCGCAGCACTGAACACGACACAACACCAGCGACACAATCCAACGGCTCAACGGAACACACAACACTAGACAGGATCTACTGAGGGGCTATTGTTGTAGCAGACAATTATCTAGATCATTTGCTAGGTGATCTAGCATCTAGGTCAGTTTTAATCTTGTGAATAGTCATGGTTCTTGTAATTGCCCTTCTGACCACACCACTCTAGACAGGATCTACTATGTGTTGTACTGTACTATACTAGCACAGAATTATCTATTGATCTAGATCATTTCTAAGTGATGCTAGCATCTAGCTTCAGCATTGTGAATAGTCTGGCTCCCCTTCTCCAGCATGCAACTCTAGGCAGGATCTACTGAAGATCCTGCTGTTATATAGTAGGATATATTGATCTAGATCATTTCTTAGTGATCTAGCACCTAGCTCAGCTTCAGCACTGTGAATAGTAGTCAAATTACCATAAATACCTACTTTGATAACAGAAATATCAATGTTTGCTTTAGTTTTGATGTGAAATACGAGTCCGTTATTTATGTATGTTTTATAATAGACAAGTTAATTCCTATTCTACTACTAGGCATCTGAATATAAGCTGGGTAAAGGCATTGGGTTTCTCTATTGAATAACCAGAAAATAAATACTGCAATATGACTCTGTCAACTACATCTCGGGATTCCATTTATCTGTATCACAAAAAATTATATCGGGATTATCATTATCTGTACGTATATCAAAAAATTATATCGGCATATATTACCTAAATTAAATAAGTCTCCAGCAGTCAATGGTCAAGGTTTGAGTTGGAGGTCTGTTAATCTTACTTTTCTATGGCATTAATAGTAATACTACAATTACTTCGGAAAAAAGGTAATATGTTGCATTATATTATAAATAACACGCGCTAATGCCCAGCACATGTTTATAAAATATTTTGTTTAAAATTTATTGGATGGTTTTGTGTGGCAACTGCTGCGCAATGTTGCCAGATTATCTTTTGTGTGTGAACCTTCTGGCCCTCACGTAGGTACCACTGTTGGTCCACGTACCACTGTTGGTCCATGTACCGTACCACTGTTGGTCCACGTACCACTGTTGGTCC